TAGGCGCTGCAAGATAGGAAGGGGCAAGCGGCGAGACGAGCACTCTGCATTTTCCACGGGTAACCCGGGTGTTTATCTCTGGCTGTGGGGGGCTACTTCCCCTTGCGGCGAAATAGCCACTGCAAGTAGGGTGACGTCATTATAGCCCTTTTTTTGGGAGACTTCATTGTAGCCCTTTTTTCCGGAAGTCTTCATTTGCTGTACCTTAGAACGTGCCTCTCCACTTGAACTCTTACGGAGCCTCAGGGAACAAGCCGAGGATCGGCCTAAGCAAACTGTTAGAAAAAGTGACCTGACTCGACCTGTACTCGTTGCTGTTAAAACGGATGTAAGAAAAATGTGTAGAGACTTGAATTCCAGGGTATTTTTCACACCCTGATTTTTAGAATTCACAGGACTTTTTTGCGATTACTTGGAAACTTTGGGAGCTGCCGTAATTGGTGATTTAGAAAGTCTCGAATGTGAAAACGCCTCCAAGCCTCTGCATGCGTCCACTGCTTCGTCTTCTTCCTCTTCATCAGAAATTGAGCTCCTCGCCTTCATTTCTGATGAAGAGGAAGAAGATGAAGCAGTGGACGTATCGGAAGGTATGTCAGGTGTTAGGTACGATATGTTTAGCGGAATTGAGGCGCTGCTACAGTAGGGAGTGGCCAAGCGGCGATACTAGACCGCACTGTTTGTTTCCTGCTCCGATCACGACATCAATGAATTTTCAGAAGATAGTGTATTTGATGATTTGGATGATTTGGAAAGCTTCGTAAGCGGGAACGTCGTCAAAGTTTCCGTTTGTGATGAACAAAAAGAAAGTAAAACCGTCGATAATTGAAAGGTAAGGGTGTGGGAGCACTTGAATAAAACCTTTAATTGTGTCAATTTTCCGTTTTTCTCTGTTCTTCCTCGTCTGTGCGGTGTTCCATTACCACCGCAACACCACGCTTATAGCTTTTTACGACACATTTCGGAAGGCTCGCACATCACGGGGACCTCTTCTCCTGAGGAATCCCATTCTCTTGCTTGCCCATTTTCTTCCACCTTTCGATGCTGTGACTGTTGCCATATTCTGTTCTACTGTATAGCCTTTGCATGCAGTACCCGTGCACGAAAGCTCAAGTAGTCATGTAAACAAAGATAGGATGTGCTTGATGAGCTCGTTGATTCACAGGGCACTACCATAGTTAGCGAGGGGAGGGTGACACGGGCAAAGCTATGCGCGCGAACTATCATCGACTGCTCTCTTCCAAGGCTGGCTCTGGGAGATAAAGGAATCACAATTTCTGTAAGGGTGCGCAGACAAGCCGATTTTATAGCTGCTGCTACGTAAAAACACGAAGCGGTAGCCGTGTGATTGCACACCATTGCCGACTACAGTAATCCCACGACTGTTTCTCATCCGCTCATAGGGCACAACTAATGTACTCTATGATGGCCTCAACGAGTATCAGCAGAGGTCCTTGTCATTACCGTTTTCAAGGAAACATTTCGTGCTCCCCCTGCCTTTGTACTACTGTCGGCACGGCTCTCCCCGTCACTCATCAGTGAAGAATTCACGAACTGAAGGAATGAAGAATAGCAGAGCTGCGAAAACGTAATTCTTGGCACTATTTATCTTGCTTTGAGGTCACATCTTCGATTCGCCTGAAAATTGTCTCCAGGGTTACGTCGACTTCCTGAATGCGAAAGTCTCATCAGTTTGGCCCGAGACATCCTGGTGTCTGCGCCATAGGCACCAGTGGCAAAATACCCTAAGTCACCAGATTTGCTGCAAACTCCAGTCTGCAGGGAAGTATGACTTCCTGACCATGAATATCACATTCACTAGGTCTGATACTAGTCTGAGCTGTGGTCATACTTTGTGGCAGTGTCGACCAGCGACGGTGAACGACGCTAGTATTAACTAACTCGTTATCCACACTTTCCTCGCTGCTGGTGCTCGCTCGAAACGGTGGTTGACGCTGCCGCAAAGTATGACGCAGCTGACGCATGCGCCACCAGCGACGGCTACATATGCTTGTTTCGATTCCAGCGCATGTAGCGTCGACTCTAGCCGGCGTGCCGATCGGCGGGCTAGCGCAGTAAGGGAAACCCTACGAGGAAACGCAGCGCCCTTTCTGGGTGTATGTGTTAGAGATCCTTCCCACTACTAAATCAAAGGATCGCTAATGCGTGGGAAGGACGCTTAGATACGACTCATAGCCTGCTCTGTTACGTTCACTCGAGGAACAACAGCACCCACACTAATGAGCACTGAAGACATCAATACCTGTAGAAGCTCACAAGATGAGGGAGTGCCGTGGACGATAAGCCTGTTCTATAACGCTGATACGATATATAGATAGTACTGAAGAAATTTGAGTGCCTCACTCAATTAAGCATGCGGATTGGACTAATGTAAAGCTCCTAAAGCTGATAACGTAAAGCTACAGATGCTCAAAATCTAAGAACAATTGGTCCACGAGGACGCACACATATATTTCATCCTTAGCCTTGAGGGTTTTATACCATGAAGACAATTAGAATACCCCACGTCAGCGAAACACCTGCGCAGGCAACCTGCAAGAATATACCTTTGATTGAAACGTAGCTGTAGGGTGCGAACAAAAAAGGTTCGCGGTTTTTATGTCAAATGATGGAACGTGCCGACAGTAGTATAAAGGCAAAAGTATGAAGATTTCTTGGAGGCGATTTTGACGGAGAACCCCCGTCAAGACATATCACGCTGTACCTGTAGCGAATAAAAGCGAGGCGGTGACGGATTACGGGTAATACGCTTATGTACGCAATTACACGGCTACCCTTCGGTGTTTTTACGGTAACATCTTTTATAGCTGCTGGCGTGCTCCTCCTCCACCACCCCCCCCACCCTCCCCATCTGCCCTGCTTTTCTTCTGAGCGTATGTCTGCTTTATTTCATTTATTCAAATTGTTCTCTAGACCTGTTTCCAAGGTCAGACCTTTTTATTATTCGATGTGGATTACTGCTCTAATAATATTGTGCAATAGTGGTGAGAACGATCTTTACAGCTTATAAAGCGAAGCACCAAAACTACATTTCTTTCCAAACTGTTGGTGTTAAAGTGCTCGATTTTAAGTATTATTATCTGGCCAAGTTTGTTGTCCGCTGAGCAGCGTGACTAGCGTATGATGAGACGGTTTTCTTTGTGCTGGACGCTTTTCTTCCGGTCTATTGTGAGATTTCTTGGAATATTATTGTGCGTTGTTCATTGTACAATCTATTACGGCTTGAAATAATATTATTTGACGTTTTTGATGCAATTTGAAGAGCCCTTTTTGCAGTCCTGGGTTTTATCGCTCTTCCAGCAATAACGTTAGTTTCTACGGGTACTATGGTGAGCGGGGAAGTTGGTTGTTTTTAGCCTGCAAGGTGAGACGTAGGTGGTTCAGTTAGAGGAGAAGATACAGGTAATGTGGGACAAAAAAAAACGAGACACGGTGGAAGTGGAAGAATCAACGTTAGGGCCTGCGGAAAAACTCACCGGCGAGCGCACGCGTCGCTTGCTTGTTTTCACCGCACAATGCGGCGGCGAAAGGGAAACAAAGGTCAGCGCTGTACAATTGCAGTCTGAGGCAATGAACTTATATAAATTTGCCGTAATCGCCGCAGCAACCAGTAGAACAGTGGGTCGGAATGACAAGTTGTGTAGCAGATGGAGGCCCGCTAAAATCATATTCAAGAACGCAGCTGTGATTAGGGTTGGATTTACACTGAGCCCTCTGGCCCTGGCCATGAAGGCGCAGTGATGGCAATGCCTGTCATGTCCAGTCCACCGCAGCGAAATTGCTCGGCACGCGCCGCGTGCGCGCCACCGGTGAGTTTTTCTTCCCCCGTGGAGTATCAAAGCATTCTTTTGGTTCGCAGCATTTCCAGGAGTTTCACTGCCATCTATTTATAAGTGCAGAAACCTTGATGCTTGGCGGAAAGAGGGCACAGGGTGGCATTCTTAGCGTTGACCCTTTTGGTTACGCCATGCATGTTTTATCTATTCAGCACTTTTCTCACAGGCCTTTGCAGGGGCTTGGAGAATTAAAGGCATGTTTCAGTTTGTGCGTCCAAATAGGTTAGAGTGCTAAAAGCTTCTTTTCGATTGAAAAGATAGAACATCTCCCGTCCTCACGTGCAAGTGTGATTCTAAATGTCCAACGCCAGAAGCATGGAAAACTTTGTTCTCCTGAGCCGCGGGAGCGTGACCTCTCCAATCGCTGCGCTATTCGTCACTTTCTCATTTTTCTCGTCAGCTTGTTGTTCTACGCTTTTGATGCTCTGTAATGTGTTTTATCATAGGCAAAGATCTACTGCGTTTTCCCCCGCATTTTTTATGCTCTAATAAATATGGGTATATCAGTGTTTACGATTGTATCTGTGGGTAAGAGTGTACCCGTCTATTCTCGGATACTTCATTTTGTCATAAATGTTCGTCGCTTCTTGTTCGACTGTTATTATAAACTGTCTGCATCTGGGTACTGGTCAGGAGACCCACTTGTCGGCGATGCGCAAGTCTCTTCAATTGACATATTGCAACATTCCGCGTTAAAATAAGTTTTGGTGCGAGTGCCGCGCACGCGATATCACCTGCAACGCTGCGCTGCGCGTCGTGGATCTCCTAACCAGAATCCTGCCTGCAATCTTCACGGTAATGTATAACAATCTTTTCAGTAGCTGAATGGATCAACGCAGTAGAGACATCCGCACTTGCCTTCTGTATGAATTTAAACTTCGACGATGTGCTACACTCGCTCAAAAAAATTTGGTAAAAGCGTTTGGTGAAAACAGTATGTCTCTTGACACTGTGAGAAGATGGTACCGAAGATTTCGACATGGCTATGAATCTGTGGACTATCGAAAAAAAGGACCGGTCAAAGTCGACGACGATCTTTTGGAGGAAATGGCCAACACCAAAATGTCAGCTTCAGAGATGGCGAAATTTTTCGGTGTTCAAATTGCGACGATCAATATGCATTTAAAGAATATTTCACAAGGCCGAAAAACAACGTTTCTTAATCGACAGGTTGTTGTTTTCTTCTAGTTTTTTCTTATTTTCGCTTTGAGTCTAAGGCAGCGGGCAAGTTGACCAGGATGCAGACATTGAATTGAAACTGGTATTCATTCACACCCACATTTCATCCAGCGCTCTCAATGCTCACTTTGAACGCTCTGGTTTACGTCTGAGTGCACTAGGATACTGGAATTTAATTCTCCGATTCTTCATATTATTCGGCTTCGCAGGACGTTTTTTTACGTCTAGGGCGCACCCCGTGATAACCGAATGGGCGGCGTCACCAAACGATATGCTTTTTCATTAGTGAATTCATAAAATCTGTAGTATCAGAGGGAAAAATTTACAACGTTATGAAAACATGTGCGATACAGTGTACCCAAAAGCTGCTTGCGAAATTAAATGTGGCTCGTGGGCGCACCGTGGGCCGTTTTAGTTACTCATGTACAGAACTCG